TCTATATGTATCTTTCTTTCTCTCTCTCTTACTCTTTCATACACACAAACACATACAATAAATGAATTAAAATGAATTACAACAAAAGAATACAATAATAAAGATTAAGTTTGCTTACACTATACTCATGTAAAAAGAGTAAGGATTTATTTATGTTGAACATTATTAAATAAAAATGTTTTAACCTAAATGATCATATTGAGAACATAAAACCAGAGTGGGTTTTTTTGTATACAATTCACAATATAAACATGTTTTTACTTCATTTTAAAATTAGATCTATACTTGGATCTATGATAAGAGTTTTAGAATAGAAATTTAGTTTTCTTTCTTTATATTTTAAAATGTAGTTGATAGATTATCAGATAATTGTCTTTTTTCTTTTAGATGTTTGTCAGAACATAGCCAACTAGTATGGAAATGTCAACGTTTTGTAGGACGTGTATCTTTTAGTAATTTATTATCAGCCCCATATTTCAGTTTCTAACTTCATAACACTGAGTATTATGTTTCAATTTTAATACCCGAACAAAACCTATGGGAGTAATGTTAGCTAATAAGTTACGTTTCAAATGCTGATCTAAGAATTGATTATATGACGTCAGTCAGTGACTTATAAACAGTGTAATGCATGTTAAGAATATACATTGACAGACTTAATCACATTTTACATCATTACTATAGCTGCAACTTTGATCAGTTGGCCAAGATTGGTAGTAATCACTGAAACACTTGTTCATTGAGATTTTATCATATCAACAAAACTAATTAGAGAAAGGTAAGATCAAAATATTAAAACTTTTAGATCCAAGATCAAGGTCATTTGATGAACTATACCGCCTTCCTACAAACTGAATAGGGAAGAAAATAGCACACACCTCAAAGGTTTTCAGTGCATGAAATAATATTTGAGAAAGCATAAAGGCGACACCATAAAAATCACCATTCATAAATCGATTGTAAAATCAAAAACAAAACAAAAGCATACAATTTCGAATGTCATTATTATTTAATATCTCAAGATGACACAGGTAAACATTCACTGTTACAGGGAGTGCTCACTCTCTATTGTCACATACATCTTAAACACATTATTGTAAGTCATTATATTCACTTTTCGTAATCTTTTAATTTCAACATTTGGTAAGATTTTATAGATCCTTAAATGGGGTTACCTTTAAAATGTTAATCAGAATAAGAATTAGCTAGAAAATGTATCTATAACGTGTTTACTGTTTTCCTAAAATGAACTCTATTTTTTACTACATTTGTAAAGTAACGAGAGTTTTCTCAGTATTAGACATTATAAAGTTAAGCTATATGTGATTTTAATCAATCGATCATACTATGATATATATATGAAAATAGACTTACTATTAATCAGCTAACCGAGCATATCGCATCGTCCATAATAATATGGAAGGAATGTCAGCTTCAAGACCTTCTTTTTACCATCATATTATTAAATAGCTTTGATTTTATTATCAGTAAAACCCTTAAGTTTTACCCATCCAATATTAAATGAATAAAGAATAAATATTCAAGCAATTGTATGGATCGATTCATTGAAAAATAAGCTCTTCACTTATAGTCTGCTGAAACGTTGAATTAATGAAGTACATTTTTTTTAAAAATCTACCATCCTAATAGCGCAAACAACTTTAAAGCTGTGTAAAGTTCAAATCTCCCTACCTTTCCCTGCATCAGATAAATGATTATAAATTCTCCCTATCATTAAACATAATAGTTAGCATATATATTAAAACAATTTTATAATTTAGTCTATCTTTCTAGGTCTATTTCAAAATAGTAAAGATGGATTAGAATTTTTTTTTAAAACGGTCCAGTTCACAAATATCTGGAAAAAAAGATTCCCAGTACTAATAGCTATGTTTAGCCTGATGTCCATGAATATTATTAATCAAAAGTTGACATTACAGAGATCCTATTTGAAACAAGTGGTTTCTAATCATTATTTATTTAAAATCTATTGTTTACTGTTTCTGTTGAATGATTCAATCTACTGTGTTGAGATAACAACTTATGATGTATGATGTTTATTAAAACCCAGTTTTTAAGTATCTAAGAAAGAAAAACGTGAATAGATCAATATAACTTTCATAGAATAAAAGGTTAATATTGACAAAATAGTTACCAAGTGATTATTTTAAGACATTGAATTATCAAAAAGTTTTGGGTAAATCAAATATTTGGATAAGAAAACTTGGGAAAGAATAAATTGAGGAATTTTGTTACTTTAAATGAGATATTAAAAGAAGCATGTTACATTTGGAGAGCTACTGAAAAACTGTTGTTCACTAGCTTAGTTATAGATCATAGTAACAAGCTGACAAAGGAATCATATGTAGAATTTTCAGGTCTTGAGAAGAATGTTATAATCTTTTAGGATTGTCTTAAATCATAATTGTTCTATCAAATGTAAACTTTCTTAATAATAATAACTTATATACAAATGCTTTTAAAACTGAAACCAGGATATCTTAAATAACTGAGGTGAATTACACATGTCAGTTTGTTACTTGATACTATGGATACTACTATGAATGAAACACAACTAGATAACCTATGAAAGCAGAAAATACAAATATTGTTTTAACTAATCACAAAAAAACATTAGGAAACTGATCTGAAAGAAGTCAGTGTTTTCCAATAAGTTAGTATGATATGTAACTTAAATGTTGACCGAATCGTAAAAAGATTTCAAATTTCTAATACGATCTTATGAAACTGTCTGCTTATTCTGAACTGACAATCAGCATTAGACTGATAATAAATTATATCTTAAACTTCTTTAAAATTTTCTCGATATATTCCAATGATTCAATCCATATTTTCATGACATTTCTCATTGTTTAATACTGTTATCTGATAAGCATTCTGGTCCAATCCTATTTAATTGAAAGAGTTTTTTGCATTGACTATTCTTGTTGTTATCATAGAATTAATTGTTAAAATTACCTAAACTTTTCTCAATACTCTACATAGTATATAACGTTCATCGTGAATAAATTAAGAACAATGCTAGGATATTGCTGATTCAAGAATGTGTCAAATTCAGTATACAACTTGTATTCAGATAATAAACCTAAGTAATAAGCTGCAATACAGGTGTTTAACTGTTAAAACTTATGAACAACATTATAACCAATAGGTTAAGCATAGCCTTATGTCATTATGAACTACGATTTAATCATACAAGTGAAAACAAGCAAGTAACAGTTATATATAGTTTGTAAATTCATTAAGTAACAAATATGTACATGTCAAGCCACTTTGTTTAAAAAGGAGAAAACGGACACCTAAAGGTTTGTTCGAATATATCGCAAAGATTCTACACATACATGAATAAAACAACAGTGATATGTATTGCATATTAATTACAAAATATACAGCATTATATTTATGCAACATATAATCATTGATCAGTTTATAATAGGCATAATAACTAACGAGGATAAACTTGGCTTTTGTGTTGGGAAATAATTCTGTTTTTCTTCAGATATATTTTTAAAGTAACCAATAAGTCTAATTTCGTGCTGAACACTTTTATGTACAGTTAGACTTTGCTTAAATGATCTCCCATCTCACACTTCTCAATACTAAACTTTGACTAGCAAACATTTTCTTATCATACTGTGTAGCAGAAATATGTTTTAGATATTCCCTATTTACCATACCGCTTATATATATATATATATATATGGTTTACTAAACTTTCATTGTTTACTAAATGTTTCTGGCTCTGGTTATAAAGAACTTATAGATAAATTAATATTATGTAATACTTTCCAATCCTTCAATAGTTACTTATTTGTAAATACTTCTATGTAACTGGAAAAATATCACAAACATAACACTAATGAATACATCTTACATATCTAAATATACTACTACTATTACTACTTCGTCTTTGGAGTAAAAGTATATACAATAAAATAAAATTACAATAAGTTAAAAATAGAAATGAATATTACTGAAGTAACAGAGAATTTCTCTGTCCAGCACCATTTGCTATTCAAACATTTTCTTAGTTTATATCATGAGTTAATTAAAGCAAGATCATCATAGAAAACCTGGAAAACTTAGTTTTGATTGACTTATGAATTCAACTATTACAAACATTATTATCATATTCACAAAACATCTACTCTGAAATAAATATTCTATTATATTCATTCATTACTATTTATCATTGAAAGTTATGTTTTTTTTCGTTTTCTTCATTACAAAATGAATTTTGTTGTTTTGTTTTATTCTGTTTTTTTTGGGGGGGGGGATTTAAAACTATTTCAGTAAGGAAAAATCAAATTAAACAAAACTATAAACCATTATGACGGATATAGGAAAGAGAAAAAGTTCCTTGTCAAAAATCTCCAATAAATTAAATAAATAAAAACCCATAGACTGGATAAAAAACAACCATACCAACAACAACAACAAAATTTGAAGATAGTTTTCATTGCAAATATACATTTATTGTAGAAAAATAAAGGGGCAAATGAGTTTCAACACCTACTTATTCAAGTTATAAAAATCTTGAAAACAAAAACAGTATTGAGGAAGTATTTCCACAAAAGATTAATTGATGAGACTATAATTCATGGACGACCTTTGAGCGGTGTTAAATCGACCTTGACAGTGTCCACCGAATAACTAGAACCAAATGACGGTTATAAGCCAGTGTGAGAAATTAGAATTGTGATTTACAATTGATGGTTAAGATTAACAATTAGATTTAAAGTTTTCATCATGAACTGACATCAGTTATAATACCAGGAATCTATTTAGCCAAATGAATAGATGAATCTTGCACTAAAATCCAAGACCTATCATTTTATACCTGATTGATTTGTTCATAATTGATAGTCTCATCGATTCATTCACTTAGAAACAAAATAACTACATTTAATCTTAAAGAAAAACAAAACAACAACAACAAAATACATATAATAATAATGATAATAACATTTGTAACTTACCCATCTAGAATATGGATGATAATATTTCATTGATATATTATATCCTGATCCTAAACTCTCTTCATAATGAAATAAAATTAAATTGATTAATAGAAAACTAATTTTTCTCAATTTAAATAAACTCCAAAATGAATTAGATAATTCAATGAATTGCATGAAATTGAATTATTGATACTTCTTTTTGTGGTTGCTACATGAAAAGATCTAAATACATTTTTTTATTAATTAATTATGAATATTAATAATAGTTAAAATGATAATAGAATTAGTTCGTTTGTCTTTTTTTTTTCTGTCTTGTTTTTCTTTTTTCTTTATGTGTTGTTGTTTTTGTTTTTTTTTGAAAATTGAAACTATGTAAAGTTTTATATTGAATATATTACTTGATAATCACTATGCGAAAAAATGATGTGAAATTCATTATATCTACAGTATAAATTGACTTCATTTTGTTTAAAACAAAACATATATATACATGTGTATTTATTTATATGATAAAGTTGACACCTATGTCAGTTAAATGAATTTCAATTGTACTATACTACTCGTATATTCAGTGTTATGATATTTAAGATGAAATTTTAATATTGATGAAAAGTTAATTAATAATTAACCAGTTATGAACCAATCATTTATGAATAATAATAATAAGATGGATTACGGTACATTACATATATACAATCCCATAATGTTTTACATTTGACAACCAGATTATATATGTATACATATACATATTATATAAGGGTAAAGATGGAAAATGATAAGAAATATATACATACATTAAATTCACTGGATAGATAGATAGATAGATAGATAAATATAAACAAAATAAGTTTACTATAGGTAGTTTAAATTTTACTAGAAATTGACCTGTTTAATGACAAAATGTATCACATGATTATCATATTTGTACAATGTGAAAGGATAAATATAATATAGACGAATTTGTAATAATGTTATCATTATGAAAGTAATTGTGGTTTCTTCCTTCTCTTTCAAGGAAGCATTTCAAAGAAAACTAATCTATGGAAGATTAGTGGTTTAAGATTGTATAACTGGACGTTTTATGATTTTATTTTATTTTCAATATTTATGACTATCAATATGTTCTCAGTGATATTTGAAAAAATAATTAAATGAGTTCTATTTTTTTGAGCAATTCAAGAATGATAATATTCGCAAAATATGGTGAATACACACTATATTTCATTGCTTTCTCTTTAACTATACTCAAGCTGAAAAATTTCTCTCAGATTTGAAAATTGGTAATAACAAATGGGTTGTTTGGACTTAGTTTTTTTTAAACCGGTTTTCAGTAATTATTTGGAGTAATATTTTACCTTATATTATTGAATAATATAACAAATATTCTATAAAGATAAACAGGTCATATATATTTAACTCACTAAACTGTAACTACAATTAATTGGAAAAATAGTAGAAGATGAAGAAGAAGAGAAGAAGAAGAAGAAGGGATCAATTGCTTAACTTCTCTTTGTTACCAAGACAGTTATGGATTAACCACAGACTCTTTTTGAATACAACGATAAGGTTTATAGTAGTTCTATTCAGTGATAATGTGCATGACATCAAAATGTATACTGAAGTATATCACAGCAAAAATGTAAATGGTACTTTTTATAAAATAAATTCAGATAGTTTAATAAACGGTAATTGCATTATAAAACCTGAAGATTTTATACTTTCATAATGCATTGGTCATTATGTTCATGTAATTAAAAATTCGAGTCCTACTTGAAGGATTGTAGATGAGCACTCTTGAGGAGTACCATACTAGAACGAAACAGCCTATCTTAGATCAACTCATGGATTCAACTATTAAAATAAAAGTAATTAGTCATTGGTTTTATATGGAAATATGTCCAAATAACTTTATTAATCATAAATCATTTTAATTTTAAATATTATTAACTTTAATTTAAAATAACGTACTATTATTTATTCTTACAGTCTATTTTTTACTTCTCTAGTAAAATAATAAAAAGTGGTAATAGCTAAAGGATTATTGTACCCCCCCCCTCAAGCTGATGGTAAACGTCTAAACTGCCTTAAAATCACGATACATACATTGATATAAGGTTAAAATCTAATCGGAATAGGATATGTGTCCGTGAATTCGTAATGCATCTGCTTCACATCATTCAATGAATGTACAACTTCTAACATCGACCTGTTCAATTAATTAGTAAATACTGTATAAGAAAACATAATTCTCAAAGATAGAATTTCAAGCTCTAAATTTCATGTTTTTTGCTTTTCATCATTTAGCAAGTTGCTATGCACTGTAGTGTGCTCAAAGAAGATAAATGTAGATGACATTAAATAATTAAAATGAAGTTTCTAGTAAAAAAGTAAACTGATATTAGCATTTATGATGCACTGAAAATGTTAGATATCACACTTTTATCAATGTTAAAAGTTAGGGTAAGTAGTTATAGTTAGAACTTTCATCAGGAACTGACATCAGTTATGATGCATTTACCCTAACCTTCATATTTCTATTTGAAGTCTTAATACAGTAAATCACAGATCTATGTTCCCTTCCTCCTAATTGGTTGAAGAGGTCAGGATCTAAAGGTCGTTAGACGATAAAGCTCAGCCTCACTGAAAAAATAACATAGATGTGTTTAAAAATAAACTGATACAATTTTCATGGTCAACGACTTGTCCAATAATTTTAATTAATAAGAATCTCGTATAGTCCATGATGTATAATGAACATGAAATTATGTATATGTAGTGAGAAGCTCGTTTTCGTTGATCTTGATCATAAAGTTGTATAATTATAAGTTTATCTATGTTTTTCCACCTAGAAAGACTAAAGTCTATTTTAGTAGACTATTCCTATAAAACATCAACTGTAAACACAGTACATAGAATATTTTGACTCAAAGGTACAAAGAATCTCTGAATAAACTAATAACAATTAGAAACCTAGTGCTTACTAAACATGACAAAGGATCAGGACAAAACAGTCTACATAAATAAAATGAATACAATACTCAGTAACCATAGCAAATCTCAGAAATCGTCTTCTAAGAACGACCCCAAAGAAAAAATGGAACGACAGTTGTCTTAATAATTAAATGATCTGAAACAAATTTATATACAATACTTAAGCACACGGGTACGGCAACATCGAGATTTTATGGTCAACCGAAAGTACGAGAAAATGGTTTAGCGCTTCACTCAGTCCTAGATATGATCAACTCACCTTACTATGCAACCACAAAATGGCTCGTTGAACTTCTTAAGCCTCCACACGAAGTCGTAAAGCATAGTGAAAAAGGTAGTTTTGGATTTGTTGGTAGAATAAGAGACTTGAAGATGAACAAGAAATTCATCATATCGCTTGATGTATCACCATTTACAAACGTGCCTATCATAGAAACAGTTGATTTCATATGTAGTGAGTTACAAAATCGAGAAGTGGAAATCGGCATTCCGGTCTCCTCTTTAAAGTAATCAATACTCAAATGTAATATCAATAAACATTTGTTATTCGCTAAAGAGCTTTACAGACAATCCAACGGTGTCGCTATGGGATTAACATCCGGTCTAATCCTCGCTCATTTCATTCTGGAAAAACCATAAAACGATCCTCTAAAAAGAGTAATAGGGAAATCAGAATTTTATTGTTGCTATGCGAATGATACATTTATATTTACAAAATACAACACTAAAGCTCACAGCCTTCCAGAAACATTTAATAGAGTCTACCAAGCAATCGCAACAATGGGAGAGCAAAAGTACGACACCACATCCTTTCTAGATGTCCTATTGACGAGAAAACCGATGAACCCATAAGAAGAGGTGTTCATCGTAAACCGACCACATAAATCTAATGTACACATTTTTCTAGCTCTGTCCTATTACAATATAAAAGAAACATAGTCAAATTTCCGGCCCACAGAGCCAAAATTATTTGTTCTGAGAATTTTCTAGGAGAGGAACTAAAACCTATTCAGGATTTATTACGTAAGCAAAGATACCCATCAAAGTTCTTAACGAAACGTATGTCTGTAAATAACCTAAAGTAAAATCGTTGACAGTACCAAAAAAAGCGTATATTCTTGAAACTGCAGTTCAAAGGTGATATATCCAGCAAAATAATAACTCAGCTCATACAAAAGGCCTTAGAATTTACATTCAGTGCGGCTTGATTATATCCTACTTTGTTCAACCAGCCAACAGTGATTTCATGACATAAAGGTGAATTACCTAGTTCTTCTGCTTCTATGTATATTTACAATTTCAACTTCTACCGTGAAGTATAACTAAACAAATGCATCATCATATGTCTCGACATCGTCCTTCATGGTTGACAAGAGGACGAAAGAATGTAATAAGAAGCTCTATCTTGGCGCATCAAGTCAATACTCGTCACCAAATTGATAGAACTTCAGAGTTCAAAGGCATTTATAAAATCTTACCAAATTTACCCTATGGTTCCAGAATCTGACTCTCACATGTCGCAGAAGCTATAGGTATACACATATCAAAAACCTAACCTTTGTATATAGAAAAAGTTTATAGAGCCTTTAAATCTACCCTTGCTTTCTACTAAGATACCTTTACATGTTTCAAAACCTTTCTTTTCCTTCTCTTAAAACATTTTCCGAACCCCAATTCCATCAACATTATAATTTATAATTCTAATCTTACGTGACGTATTTATTAATCATATTATCTGATTTTCACTTCACCCATCCTACTAATTACTTTTCAGCAATTTCACAGATAACCAAATACATTTTAATTATGTAACTATTTGTAATGAATAACTGATTACGAAAATTCACTTTGTAATTTCCAAAACTCCATGTAACTGATGATTATTTTGTTAAAATGACTCACCAGCATCTAATTGGTATTGAGTTTTTACTCACTTATAAAACATAAATTTTATTGTAGAAACTTGTTGAAGAAGTAATTGAAAAGTAATATTCCGTCGCTCGACTTCTTTTTTAATATTCTTAATAAATAATAAAATTGAGTAACAAAGTACAAAACGATAATTTTGTGCTGAATAGGAAGTTTCACTACTTCTTTTATGGGAAGATAAAACAGGTGACATCATTTCAGGCCAGTTGTTTTTTGGATCAATTCAATCTGAATTTCGTTTAGGGTGATAGGCG